CCACACCCGTCTTGTTAGCAAGAACCTAAATGGGATGAAAAAAAGAAATGGTCTTGAAATATTTGAGTTACTATTATTGTACTATGTGAGAAAAAAAAAGACTGGATTCACAAAATTGCAAATAATAATAATACCTTTAACAACACAAGAACAACACTGAGTCAATCGCTATTTCATGTTTCAAGAAAGTAATAACCCACCCGAATGGGATCCCAATTCATCTGTAAGTCTTCCACACAGGAATTGCCCGGTTTGAGTTTTATAGGTCTTCCCTGGGGCACGTTTGTGGTCTTCTGCTTCTTCAGAGCAGGTTCATCAAAGGTGAAGCTGTCATCTGGTTCCTCTTTTTTCATCTTGGGGAAATGTTGGCTGGAGGATGGACCCTCATCAGGCATATCTCTTGGGACAGCTGCATTATTACTGAACTCCCTGCTCAAGTTGATGGACAACCTCTAAAATAAGGCAACAGAATGAAGCAAGTAATTTGAGTACATTATATTAGAACTGCTAATTTGAAAAGTGCCTAACTAATGTCTTTAACTAATGCCAATGTCAAGCTACACTACCATACATCAGTCTTATGCTCACCAAGACGACATTTATTTGATTAACAATACAGTAAAACTATAATATTGTAAAATATTAATGCAATTTAAAATGACTGCTTTCTATATATTTAAAGTGTAATTAACTCCTGTAATTGCAGAGCTGAATATTCAGCAGCCATTACTCCAGTCTTCAGTGTCACATGATCCTTCAGAAATTCACAATTCTTAATATTATCAATGTTAAAAACAGTTGTGCTGCCCAGGGCTCTACAGTGCGACCATTTTGCTCGCATATGCCCCTAAAAATCGATACGTGCGAACCGGAAAAAAGATTTACGAGCACAATGTGCGAGTAACTACCTACCATAATCGAAAACGAGACGATAACTAAATAAAAACTAGTTTTGAATGACAAAAACTATGACGAAAATCTATTGACATTTTCGTCAACAAATAAAAACTAGACAAAAATGTTAGATAGTGACGATCCAGTAAGAACTGATGTCCTGCGTTTGTGGTAGATGCGCATATTTGTACTGTAACGTGCTGATCTACCCAGCGGCACACGGGTTGACATGCGCTGCATCTCATCGAACGTTAAAAAATGTAAATTTTACATTTTTTGAATAACTGTTCGTCTGTTATAGGACAACTTAGTTTGAATAAACAAGCAGACACTGATTAGCTACTGGCTCTACGTTGATTTAACATGAACAGCAAGACAACTAGAAGGGAATGTGCTTTCCATTAAATGTATCACACAGTAAACAAATCCTTAACTAACAAAACAAACAAACGTTGCAATGAACATGCTTTTTTTTAATAAATCACTCACAGTAAACAAAACCTTAACGAAAAAACTTTGGAATGAACTTTGCAATTTAGACGCGCAAACTGCGTGCCGGTGCGGTGAGACGTGCATGCTCGGGCAGATTCGGCTAAAGTCGGTCATCCTCGGACGCGGCGCCGCGCGCGCTGTTACAAAAAAAAGCCGTGCACACAGCCAAGCCAAATGGGGTCTTGCCGCCGGTCTTGCGCACCGAACGCGTCATTTTTGCCGCGCGCACCTTCGCGATCGTGCGGACGCGTCGAGTATAAACAAGGCTTTACTCCGTGTCAGCGCGCGCTCTGATCGGTAAAGGACGGTGCACAGACCTCTCCCGAATCATCTCCAGCAGTAGCAGCCTCCGTTTCCCTCTTAAGCTGATATTAGTATTTAAACATTCTCTATGATAAAACATGTTTGTAAAAAATATTTTAATAGCACGGTTTTGGCGGTTATAGAGTTCTAATGACGGTGTTCAACTATAACCGTCGGTCTCACGGTTATATAATAACCGTCACACCCCTACTGTATTGCATGTTCAAACTTTACAATCATTCATATTAACAGGTTAATAGATGTTTTCTCTGGGAGTATATGGGTTTGGACATTTTAGAGAAATTCTAAATGAATGCATTACAATTGAACTAAACCCATTATATTTTAGTCATCTGAATTGTGTTAGTTTTAGTCGACGAAATACAATAAGATTTTAGTCGACTAAATCTACAGTAGCCTTACTAAAGTGATTGTAAAGTGTGATTTATACTTCTGCATCAAATCGACGGTTTCACACTATAGTTGAACACAGAGAAGGAGCACACACGTAGTGTATATATAATAAATAGTTTGTTATTACTTGTTACTGTTTTTCACTGCGCTCCAAAATTTCTTTGTGTGCTCCTACATTTTTTCATTTAGGAGCACATGTGCTCCTTGGGAAAAACCTTAGCGTAGAACCCTGCTGCCTAATCTTTTTGTGGCTACATTATTATTATTTTTACAATAAAAAAAAAAAATAATAATAATAAAAACGTAAAAAAGACTTTTAAACTTTATAGTTTATACTTTACTGACACTATTGATCAATTTAATGCCTCCTTACTGAATTAAAATATTAATTTCATTCAACCCAAACTTTTGAATTGTAGTGCGTTTCTTATTTGTACAGAAAAAGTCAAATTTAGCCAAATTAACCAAGATATAAAATTATAGAACATAGAATATACTTAGATTTAGAATCACCAGACATACCAATGAAGTAAGTGATTTGAATAAATTATGTTTTTGTTGGTTAAATTATATTATAACTGCTGATGTGAGGGGGTAGATAGATAACATATAGTAATTAGTTATTTAGAAAAGCAGATGCTGTTATGCAGAGCAACTTACAGTACACTTATTACTGCTGCCGAGTCAAATACTAAAAACTTGCCTCTTCTTTGATTGTCACATGCTGGTGTGATTCAGGCTTCGGTAGAACTGCATCCTCAGTTTGATTCTCTGTATTAGTCTTCTCCTTCTTCGCTTTAGGAACTCGCGGAGCTCTTGGCTTCCTCTCCGCTTTAGGTTTTGGCTCTTTAGGTTTGGCCACCCTCTTGGTCACTTTTTTCTTTTCAGCGGTTTCATCTGTCCCCCTCTGGCGTCTTCCTTTAGTTTTGCCTTCATTTAAATTTGGCAACCATTCATCTAACTCCTCACTGTCATCTTTCTGATTGCCTGTTCTGTAACACGAAATTATTTATATTTCATCCAGCATTCAGGGAGAACAAGAAATAGAAGATCTTGTATTTTTACATAATTAAAAAAAAAATTCAATCAACATCAGTACCTAAAATTCAAGAGCATGTTTTCAACACTGTATATTGGCAGAGAGAGCCTAAAAACCGTTTTACTGCACAGTGTTGCATCTTAATTTTCTTGGAAGCTAATTTGAAGACAAAAAATGTGTTGGATTGTGAAAGCAAAGCAAAAGAACTCACATGTCATCAGAATCATCATCAGTCTCTGGCTCTTTATACACCTTTGCTGTTCTTGTTCTTCGAAGCATCTTTGTGTGGGAAAACTAAATTATGGACTAAATGACAGTAACAAATAAGAGTGTATGGGGAAATAAAAAGAATAACTTGGACGTGGATATGTTTTCAACCCAATCAATATTTCTATACATAATGGACGCTCATATATAGGAGTATAAAAATAATATGTTTCTCATATAACGACTTTCAGACAATTTGAGACAAAGTGATAAATATGAAAACCTGCCCGTCAGGTGTCACGTCAAAAATGTGCAAAGCAACGTTACTCAGCGCAATTCAAAAGCATGTTTACCGTTGTTGTGGTGATTGTTAACGTTAAATGTTAGAAACTGTCAGTAGAATCAGAAAGTCATTTTGAATTTAGCGCGCGAGCACGTACGTGTAATTTGTCTTAGCTAATGGTTCTCCAGATGACCAAATATTAAACCAGAGATGTTCACCTACAATAGACGCTTACAGAACTGTTAAAACTTACAATGTTTCTCTGACAGACATCAAACTATCACCCATTTCACGACTGAACGATGCTTTGTTTCCTCAGCGACGTCAGCAGCAGGAAGTGATGTAGTTAAGGCTCTCAAACGCTTAATATAATAAAGGTTCATCTTCATCCGTTTTTTCCATAGGTTTTTTCATCAAAAATTTTTCCATCAAAAATCTAAAATTTCATTAGAATTACAAGCTGTAAGCATTCTCTACTTTTAAATAAGCAATTTAATTAAATATACAAATTCACCATTTCAATTTGCTAAATGAATATAGGCTAACTTATTTGTCAATATATGAATGGCCTACTAGATATTTGATAACGTTACTTCTACACAAACATTGAAGTCCATTAAATGTGATGTGACTGTACATTTAATTTGTTCTTAGAACGTTCAAAATATCCAGATTATTTTAATGTTTTTAAAACGATTTATCTTGGATATGTGAACGCTAATGTGTAGCTAATTTTGTCAACGGAGCATTATTCAACTAAAATGTTTTAGAAATATAGCTGAAATATGTTTCAGAATGAATAAATATAATTTTTGTGCTAATGTTTTGAGAACATTGTTACTGGAAGAATGTTTGTTCATAACTTTGAGAGAACCTTGCCAGAACTTTAGCCAGCTGGCTGGTATGAAGAGAGGCAAGATATGTTTGATGAGTAGACTAGAGTGCTTTGTGCCAAAAATAAATAAATAAAAATGTAATATGAATAATGACACTGTAATCTTTTTACTGAGAATTTCAGCATTAAAATGACATTATAATGTAGGCTACCATGGTGCTATAAATCTAACCTAAACTGGGTTATTCTCCATAAAACACGCGTGTTTCGATATGTGTATAGTTTGCAAAGTAAAGCTATACAAACATGCACACTAAACATGCTTATTTGTTTTTGGACATTGATTTACACTGCGGAAATTTAATGATATCTTCTTCTGTTGCACTTTATTTTCATTACTGAACCAAGCATATCAAGAGCAGTGTATATTCATAAGTCACAAATGACTTGAGTAGGGGAAAAAAACCCGTTAAAAATCTGTGCACATAAGCCCAGTCTATGCTCTTTGCTCTTTACACCCATCCACTTCCGTGAGTTGCAGGGTTTGTTTGTCAATGATTGCCATAGTTGTGTAAAGTAACCATTGAGAGTGTTGCCTGCTCTGCAAAATGAAGAGAAGAATCAATAAATCTGAAAGAAAGTTTCAGTCTGCAGGAAGATTGACGAAACCTACGGATTTGAACGAGCATGCAAGGCAAGCCATATTTGTTGTTATTATGGAAGACATTTTCTGCCAATTTTAAATAAATCAATTAAATGATAAAAATGAAAACTAAAACCAGATTATCAATTTCATTATAAGAACACTGTATGCAAAATATGTGACAAAATTGACAATGAAATTAAATGATTTTCACTGATTTTACAGTGACAATGCATCATCCCTGTCAAATTGAAAAATAAAATGCAATTGGTGATTTGACGTTTCATTTTCACTACAATCTCGAGGCAAGACTGCCAATATTAAAATGAAAAGGCAAATGTAAAAGAGAAACTGACTTCTTCAAAAGTAATTCAGCGTAGACCTGTTTTTGTGACTACATAACAACTGCATAAAACTAACAGCAACAATATCAGGCAATGTCTAACAGTTTCATTAAATCCTGCTAATGCAATTGGTTGTAAAAGAGAATAACCTTTAAAATGTGCCACTATGAAAATTACTTTAATACGGCAATGTTATTTAAAAAAAATGTGTATAGGCAATACAAGACATTGTCGGGAATAAAACTAAGCTAAAACTTAGAAGGTTATTTGTGCAATTCATCAGACGTTCAGCAGAGTTCATACCATTGCAACACAAAACATTTAATATTTAACAACTACATAGTTGAGTTGAAAGCAAAAGCTAAATATTTGTCTAAATTTGTCTTCACCACATCTTGAATACAGCCCATTGGGTCAAAAATGACAGATTCTGTGAATGTTCTTTTCTTAAGATCTCAGTGGACTTGGACTAAAATGGGACTTCTTTTGATGTGCGTGCTTTCTGCAACAATACCATTTCTAATGCATCTCTTCTCTGGTATGCAATTACCCCCCACCAATATTGATGTGTTGTCATCTGTAGTGTTGTAGTTTATGGATTTTTCCTATAAATTCATTTGTTTATTTCTCCAGACTATGTTGACCTCAGCCAACCTTCAGATATAGGTCTCAATCACACTATAAATATCTATCTCAAACCCGAGGAGGGGGTGAGAGTGGGCGTGTGGTTAGTTTTAAGACACCTACATATCACATATATACTCAAAAACTATAAAACAACAATAACAACAAATATTGATGTTGTCAATATATTCTTTTTCTGTGTTTTTGCATTATACATAATTAATTTGTAGGTATACTGTACCTGAACATAGATGGAAGGAGGCACAGGGGCAGAATCTAGAGTGGTATGAGAAAGCTCTGGGGGATGGATCGCCAATTTTCATCTACCTCCATGGCAATGGGGGTAACAGGCAAGTCAAGTCAAGTCAAATATATTTATATAGCGCTTTTCACAATACAGATTGTATCAAAGCTGCTTCACAGTATCAATCAAAACAACTTAACAGTGTTTGTTTATTACTGGAAAAAGACATCCAAGTTTGGTAGAGCTGATCAGTGGTATGATGGGTCATTTAATTTGAATATCCCCAACTGAGCAAGCCAAAGGCAACAGTGGCAAGGAACCGAAAAACTCCATCAAGTGACCCGATGGTGTCCTAAAACTCCATCAGATGACCCAATGGAGAAAAAAAAAAAACCTTGGGAGAACCCAGGCTCAGTCGGGGCCAGTTTTCCTCTGGCATTTATGAAGTAGAGGCCGAATTTACAGTAACTGTAAGATAAAATTTATATGAATGCCTGGCTAAATAGATGCGTCTTTAGTCTAGTTTTAAACTGGGAGAACGAGTCTGAGCAACAAACAATATCAGGAAGGCTATTCCAGAGATTCGGAGCTAAATGTGAAAATGCTCTCCCTCCTTTGGTGGATCTGGATATGCTAGGAATGACCAGAAGCCTCGAATTTAGTGATCTTAAAGAACGCGATGGATTATAGGGCGATAGAAGATCCGTTAAATAGACTGGAGCTAAACCATTTAGAGCTTTATAAGTCAAAAGCAATACCTTGTAATTAATACGGAACTTTATAGGTAACCAATGAAGTGATGATAGAATCGGTGTTATATGATCATATTTTCTTGATCTAGTAGTAGCGGCTGCATTTTGGACTAACTGTAGCTTGTTTATTGAAGATGCAGGACAACCAGCTAATAAAGCATTACAGTAATCTAGTCTCGAGGTCATGAATGCATGAACTAACTTTTCGCATCAGAGACTGATAGCATATTACGTAGCTTAGCAATGTTTCTAAGGTGGAAAAAGGCTGTTTTTGTAACATATGAAATATGCTTTTCAAAAGACAGGTTGCAGTCTACTGTAACACCCAGGTCTTTTACTGTAGCGGATAAAGTAACAGGGCATCCTAATATGTTAAAGTCGTGCTGTGAAAGGTTTTGTGGACGGTTTTTAGAACCGATAAGTATTACCTCTGTCTTGTCTGGATTTAATAAAAGAAAATTACGCGTCATCCAATCTTTTATATCTTTAACACAATCTGTCAATTTGGATAATTTAGCGTATTCATCTGGCTGTGATGAAATATATATTTGAGTGTCATCGGCATAACAATGGAAACTAATTCCATGTTTCCTTAGAATATTACCAAGTGGCAGCATATACTGTATATTGAGAATAATAAAGGGCCTAACACAGATCCCTGCGGCACTCCATAGTTTGCCGAAGTTATGATCGATTTTTTTCCATTTAAGTAGACGAAATGGTAGCGGTCAGATAAGTATGACCTGAACCAGCTTAATGCTTGTCCTTGAACTTGGCAAGAAACCTTTAATCGACTTAAAACACAAGAGAACATCTTTTATTCTAAGACTTTTAATCTCTGTTCACTAAAGATTCCCTTTGATATGCTAACCATGCAGACACTATGCAATGTCTGCATAATTTCTCGACATTGATCAGTGGCCCTATACATATCTTTTACATACATTGAACTTGTGCATTGAACTTCACACTGCTTTGCACTTTACCTTAGTAAAAAACTGGGATGGGCAACTGCAGCATATCACTTAATGTCAACATTCAATCATTTTGCAACCTCACTATTTGAAAAAAAGAAGTCCAATGAAACCAAACATAAAAACTATAAGTGTGTAAACACTACCACAATATTATCAACTTTTTTACCTTAAATACAATTACCACACATGGATTTTGGCTAATACCACATTGAGTTCCTTTGTGATTTTTCGTATTTGATGAGGATATACTATTTAAAATTCTAAATAAATAGATTTTAAAAAGTGATACATTTTGCATTATATTGAAAATACATGTAAATAATTAGCTTTTGTCTTGATGCTGGCATGACCTTTGTATCCTCAATAAACAGATCTGCACCCCATCGTATTGGAATTTCAAACGTGAGTAAACTCACTTTTTTCATTATGTAGAAAGACTAAGAACTTATAGAGATAATGACTGAAGTGTCTTGGCCATACAGGTCTTGAGTGCTGTTGGATATCATGTCTTGGCGTTGGACTACAGAGGTGGGTTAAAATGTTGTCACTTCACTTAAGCCCACAATCATTGGAACTCATTTCAAATATGATTTTTCTATGGCAAGGCTTACTCAAATGTATTAAAATCTGTCAGGTTTTGGGGACTCCACTGGGGAACCTACAGAGGCCGGTCTGAGTACTGATGCCTTATACTTGTACAACTGGGTTAAGGCACGCAGTGGAAACAGCCTGGTGTGTGTGTGGGGGCACTCGCTTGGTAGTGGGTGTGTAGAATCTGCTTTTTTATTGACTTTTGCTAAGTTTCTACAAATCTATTAAAAAACAATAAAGACAATATAATATGACTAAATAAAATAGATGTATTTTCTACATATTCAGTATAACAGCTGTATGTTTCTTTTTCAATAGAGTAACAACTAATACTGCAGTGAAATTACTGGAGGAAGGTAAGAATTTGACTGATCGTATTTTTATGCTCTTATTTGTCTCAATGTCTTTTCAGTGTTTTTGTCTTGCTTTTTACTTTTCACTTGTCATTGTTGTATAGCTTAGTAAGCTTCATGTAGCTTTATGTGAGGCTGAAACGCAGATCTAAATGCGAGGGGTTTATTGAAAAAACATGAACAAGGCAAGAGCAGGATAACCAGGGAACACAGGTAGTAGAGACACAATATGTCAACATAAATCCACAGCAAACATCGGCTGACAAAGAACAAGGGAAACACAAGGGTTACAGTATACAAAAGGGGTAACAAGCTAAAAAGAAAAAACAATCAGGCAACTAATCAACATTAAAAACTACATGGCAAACAAACATGGCACCAAAACAGGAAGTAACACTAGTCTAAACAAGACATGGGGAACATAAAGCCCAACCCTCCCACCGGGAAGTCATGGACGGCCATGAGGTGGAGGTGGGCCTTGTAACCAAGGCAAAGCCAGCAGTTCAGGGAGCCAGGGCGGAGCAGGAAGAGCGGGGAGCCAGGGAGGAGCAGGAAGTGGGTGGAGCCAGGGCGGGGCAGGAAGTGGGGGGAGCCAGGGTGAAGCAGGAAGTGGGGGGAGCCAGGGCAGAGCAGGAAGAGCGGGGAGCCAGGGTGGAGCAGGAAGTGGGGGGAGCCAGGGCAGAGCAGGAAGTGGGGGAGCCAGGGTGGAGCAGGAAGTGGGGGGAGCCAGGGCAGAGCAGGAAGTGGGGGGAGCCAAGGTGGAGCAGGATGTGGGGGAGCCAGGGCGGAGCAGGAAGAGCGGGGAGCCAGGGAGGAGCAGGAAGTGGGGGAGCCAGGGTGGAGCAGGAAGAGCGGGGAGCCAGGGTGGAGTAGGAACTGGGTGGAGCCAGGGCGGAGCAGGATGTGGGGGGAGCCAGGGTGGAGCAGGAAGTGGGGGGAGCCAGGGCAGAGCAGGAAGAGCGGGGAGCCAGGGTGGAGCAGGAAGTGGGGGGAGCCAGGGCAGAGCAGGAAGAGCGGGGAGCCAGGGTGGAGCAGAAAGTGGGGGGAGCCAGGGCAGAGCAGAAAGAGCGGGGAGCCAGGGCGGAGCAGGAAGAGCGGGGAGCCAGGGAGGAGCAGGAAGTGGGGCAGCCAGGGCAGAGTAGGAAGAGCGGGGAGCCAGGGCGGAGCAGGAAGTGGGGGGAGCCAGGGCGGAGTAGGAAGAGCGGGGAGCCAGGGTGGAGCAGGAATTGGGGGGAGCCAGGGCAGAGCAGGAAGAGCGGGGAGCCAGGGCAGAGCAGGAAGAGTGGGGAGCCAGGGAGGAGCAGGAAGTGGGGGGAGCCAGGGCAGAGCAGGAAGAGTGGGAAGCCAGGGCGGAGCAGGAAGTGGGGGAAGCCAGGGCAGAGCAGGAAGAGTGGGAAGCCAGGGCGGAGCAGGAAGTGGGGGAAGCCAGGGCAGAGCAGGAAGAGCGGGGAGCCAGGGCGGAGCAGGAAGTGGGGGGAGCCAGGGCGGAGCAGGAAGTGGGGGGAGCCAGGGCGGAGCAGGAAGTGGGGGGAGCCAGGGCGGAGCAGGAAGTGGGGCCCAGAGAGTTGGCCTCAAGAATGGCTTCTCTTACCATAAGAGAGAGCACAGAGAGTTCTGAGACTAGGGAACATGAGGAGAAGAGACAAGATCCATCTACATTCATTCACAGCAAACATAAACTGACAAGGAACAAGGGAAAAACGAGGCCTATATCAGGGAATCAGCAATCAGGGAACTAATCAACATGAAAAACAAGGGACTACAAAAATGGCACAGAAACAGGAAGTAACACAAAAGTCAAAAGACATGGGGAACATAATTTACACACTTTTCTTGACTGCAAGAATGGAATGGTGTATTTTTCTTTATTTTGTATATGTAATTTTTTCTTGATTAAAAAACTGCACATTTATTGACAGGAAAACAGTTCGATGGAATAATACTTGAGGGTGCATTCCTAACCGGGGAAGTGGCACCTAATCAACTTTTTGAACACGCTTTTTCCTGGGTAAGTAACGTTGAGGATCTTAGAAATCATGGAAAAACAACTGGTCCTGACAAATGAGTTTCAGATGTTTTAATTTTAGATATTTTTATTAGGTATTTTATTGATCATTTTTAAAATGTTTTTAAAACCTACCTTTCACAACATTGTAATTGGGATTTTCTTACAAATTAAAATGTACTTAACTTGAACAATTTAATTATGATGATAATGAAGTTCATTCATACTTTACATGGACAAACCACACAAGATGATATGGGTCATTAATCTGTTTGGTCCATCTCTCTTTTTTCTCTCTAGTTTTATTGGAAGTTCCCATACATTCAGTTCTTCCTTTTCAATCCACTTAAAAACAACATTGTGGTCTTTCCAACTAATAAGAAGTATGTGACATTGTTTCACTAAAGTAATTAATATATATTTAACAATATGAGTAGAAATGTGATTGGAATAGAATGCCAGTGTAATGTTAAATATGAAAATTTGTTGTAAAATACTTATCTCGTTTTTCTTTTTCTTTTTTGATAGTTTGCAGAAAATTAGAACTCCTATTATGATTCTCCATGCTGAAGACGACCATTTAGTGCCATTCGCCTCGGCTCAAGAGGTTTGAGTTTACGTGTATGAAACTTAATTTACCTTATAAAAAATAATTTGGAAATACATATTTGTTTTAAATTACATTTATTCTGGTTCAGATTTACAGAATCGCAAAAAAGGCCCAGAACTCAGAGAACTCAGATGAGCGGGTCAAGCTGGTACCATTTGATGGATCGCTTGGATATCTTCATAATGGTCTCTATAAAGACCCTGGTTTGCCAAATATCATAAGGTGATGTCATGTTTTATTCATTTTTAAGATTTCAAAGCATTTTCATAGGAGATGCATGATACTAGGGGTAACATGTTACAAGTAAAGACAGCTCTGGAGAAATACTTTCTATAATAAGCAACTTATTATGAGTAAGCTATGCATTACTTTCTATAATGTTGAACATACATCACTTAATGACAGAAAATATTAGATAATGGCAGCAAAATTAATGCCTATGTTTATTATTACAGGGAGTTTGTGCAGTCGCTGAAGGCATGAGACAGACACACGAGGGGAAGGATTTACACCAAGAAAGAGCCAGCTAAAGCTGTAACTGGTTTTATAACTGTAAATTTAGAATTGTTGTAAACAATATGCATTTATTTGATAAAAACATTGTAATGTCGGAAGTATATTTTACAAAAGGACCCCCGTATTGGGTGAATTTACTGTCTTGTTATGAATAAGAAAATACAGCGCGGGAACTGTGTTAAAAAAGCGCAATGAACCGTTTTGACTGAATGAACCATTTTAGCGAATATTGACGTATAAACACAAGGAAAACAACGGGGAAAGAAATCAAATGTGTGCCAATGTCGTGCATTAGTTCTTATAGTGGCAGCAGCCTATAGCATACCTGCTGCTGTCTATCCTTAATGTTCATCAAACAACAAGAGAAAAAGAAAAAATCACTTTCTTCACTTTGATTGAATAACTTTAGTAGCTTTGAATCAATATTTAAATCATATTGTGAAGACTATGCAGTTTTTAATTTTTATTTCATTATTCAATTGCATTATTCATTATTCAATTAATTTTGAATAGGAGGCTATAGTGTCCACATTGTCACCAGTTGATTTTGAACTCTGGAGGACAGACTATTGTGCCTATAGAGGAAAGAGATGTTGTCTGCGGTTAAATACATTTCCACAGCAAGTTGACTATGGGATGCATTTCTATGAGTTCATTAATAAAGCAGTTCACAACACATAGGCTACCAATGAAGACTTTTAAGGCAGATTCCTTCATGAGCGCACCACACCCAAAGTCAATCAATTTGACCTCCATGGTGTCCTGGTTTACCAGCAGGTTCTTGTATTTGATGATCGACGGAAGCACCATGCTCGCAACAAACGTTAGCGTGATGATATGACGTGCTGTCTTTTCTTTAAGGCTTCCTCGGTGGAGCTCCATGAAGCTCAACAAGTCAATGCAAGACAAGGACTGTCGACCATGATGTAGTTGTCTGTGTTGTCCTGCCAGTCCTGGGGCCCTGGGAACGCTGGGGCCCTTATTGGTGATTAATGAGTCAATCTCCATGGGGAGGAGTTTGGGATAGCCAGCCTAAAAGAAAGAAATTATGACAGATTGAGGTGGTTTCCAAAATAAGGACTTAGCTCACAAAACAGTTTGCCTACTGAAAAATAATTTGTAGTATGTGATTAACATGAATAAGATGTTATAAATTAACTGTGAATCAATAACATAGCAGCTTACCACTTTGATGGCCCCTTCACTAAAATATCACGGCCACCTGATCAACAAAACAAAGAATTAACAATTAGCTTGTGCACAGAGGTCAGTCATACCATGCCAGTCATTGATCCGATATGGAAACAGATATGGAAGGTTTTGGCCAAATTTATAACACCACAACAAATTCCTAATGTGTTTGCACACTTGGTGAATAAAGCTCATTCTGATTCTGATGTCTGTTAAATGATAAACAATTGTAGTTAGCATGAAATACCCTTTTATATTTTTTTAATTTTATAATTTAGCTTTTTCTAATTCTCATAGATTTATTATTCTTATCCTTGTCGAAGACATCCTGCTCTAGCTGTTCCTTAGCAACAGGGACTATGACTTTAGATGTTGGATCTACATACTGTCAGGTGTCTGTCCTGTCTTGTATTGCACTTGGGTGTCTTTGTTATGTTGGGCCATGTGCTCTCGTTATTGTTTGATCCCTCCCCCTTGTTACCTGATTAGTGTTTGAGTTCTTCCACCTGTTCCCTCTTGATTTGTTCCCTTTTTAAGTCTCCTCTTGTTTGCAGTCTTTGTTGGATTGTTGTCATATGTTTTCCCAGTTTCTGTGTGATGGTCTTCGTGTTTAGAGTCAGTGTTTGTTCTTCAAGTTCAGTTTTGTTTAATGTCTCATTTATTGTGTTTTCCCCCTTGTGGGTTTTTGCTTTGTGCTTTGTTTTCTTTTGTTAATAAATCATCCGTTACTGCACTTGAGTCCTCCTTTCCACTTTTTGTAACTGTAACGTGACACATACCAAATAAATAAAATGAATAAAATATTGCATCCTTAAATTAGAGAGGTTCTTTATTTAGTGCCACTTTTGACTTGAAGAATCAACCAATAATCAAATACTTGTATCATGATGACATGTTTATGTGATTGATTTTTCCAACGATAATAAGTTTCAGATATAATCCACCCTCACTCTGGTAGTCCTTCTCAGCCTGAACCAGGTCGTTTTTAGAGGGAAGTGGAGAGTGGGCACTTCCAGTAACTCGTCTTGTTCTTTTTTTCCTCTCTCCCTCCATCAATCTCAGCAGCACCAACAGGCGTCTGATCAAGCCGATGAGGATGGTTCTCCACCATGTTGGTGGTTTAGTAGCAAGATTCGTACACACTCCATATCAAGCTCTTTGTTTGGTCGTGAACTTAGCTGTCCCATGATAAAACCGATAAAAACGTCATTTTGATATCAAATACTCGAAAACGTCAACCTACACAATGAGCAAGAGACTTTAATGGTTTTCAGAAGCTACTGAATATCTGCTCTGAATATGTTGTGAAATTTGATGTGTTGTTTAATGCCAAAAAGAGTGCTGTATTGATACTGTATGTAGGACAAAAGTGGACAAAGATCTTTGTTTTCCAGACTTTTATCTGTCAGGACAAGTGATGAGTGTTTGTAATAAAATGAAATACCTGGGTCATTACATTACAGATCAATTATCTGATGATGAGGATTTATACAGGCAGCGTCGCATATGCCCGAGCTAACATGCTGGTAAGAAAATTCCACAGGTGCACGGATGACGTCAAAATTAGACTGTTTAAAGCATATTGCACTCCTTTGTATACTGCTCCTTTATGGAATAAGTTTAAAAAGGCTAGTATGCAGAAGCTTAAGGTTGCTTATAATGACTGTATGAGGATACTGCTCAACAAACCTTGCTCTATAGTGCAAGTGACCTGTTTTGAAATGCAGGGGTCAGCACCTTTCAGGCATTATTGAGGAGACTCATCAACAAATTCATTTGTCGCCTGAATGATTCCCAGAACAGCATTGTTATGCTGCTAGTAAATCCTAGGTTTAGTGCCATACGATAACGATACCAATCATCACTATGGAAAGACTGGTATAAGTGTATTTTATAGAAATGCCGTATTGTAGTTTTTTTTGTAGCCTATATCTTTTTTTATCTTTTTGTATCTTTTTATCTCTTTGTATATGTATCTGTTTTATGTATGTTGCATGATATGTCTGTGCCTTCTGAATGGACCCAGAGTCTGGAAATAAAGTTGATGATGATGATGAATGCCATTAAAAACTGTAACATTTGTGACATCATAAAGGCTCGCGCAGTTGTGCTCTTTAAATGCTGTGTTGTTGTTGTTGTTGTTGTTGTTGTAAAAGGTTAGGCTATAGGAAAATCAACTCATCATCAAGTGAAAGTTGAGTTCTCAAAGAATCTCAACTACTTTGCAAGACAAATGCTTTTTTGTAATTAGGTCTTAGCCAACATGCTAATCTACCTGCCCCATTTCAAATAACAAACAAAAAAACAAACAAAACAAAACAAAAATACCTATAGGCCAGGCGCCAGGGTTTTCTGGGGGTTCACGAGGGAAAAGCAGGGGGTTGGTGAGTTAAAGCTAATAATAAATCCAGTAATAAAAATATAAAATTAAAATAAATCATTTTCAAATCGAAACATTCTAAACATAACACTTCATATTTCATTATTGTTATTTAGCCTACCTGTATGGCATGTGACCATTTGACATAAGAGAACCGTGAACATGCACATTTGTTGTTAAATTATTACCATTTTTTTGTTATAATTATTAACACAAATAATTGGGGGAAATTAGTTATTGTATTCATGTTAACTAAAGTTTTTGTTAAATGTTTTATTTTGACAGCTTGGTGAGGAATAACAAGGGTCTTGAATGAAGCGACGTTTAATAGCGATATGTTTACTGATTAGGCGTAACTTTCTAATACACTATTTGAAGTTCCTATCAATGAACATTCATCAGTGTTGGTTTTACATCCTGCTTAACAGCCTGCCTTTCCACCGCTTCTGTTTGCGCTCAGATGACGTGGCCATGGGTGGCGAACATAGACAGTAAAAGGTGGCGAAGCGGAGGGTTTTCTTCCTCAACTTTGACTCATCGCTCTCTCCAACGATAGGTCTAAGTTACCCATGTGATCTGTTCCCACCAATCAGCGGTGGACGCGCTGATCACTCGCCGAACAGTTTTACGACAAACTCGAATGTGAGCACCTCAAGACAACTACTGTCATAGAACCAGGAAGAAGGAAGGTGGGATAGCCCCCAAAAAAGATACCATTTCAAATCAGTCGCAGAATTTTCCCTAGAAAATCATGGGGCTCTGCAGGTGGACGATTGAAGTGGTTGTCTTGACGACTGTTTTTAGTTCATTGCTGCCAGTTCGAGCAGATGAACACGAACATAAGGTAAGATAAACTGCGGGCCGAGAAGCCCTCTGTGTTCGGTGTGTATAGTCTCGAGAGACGTTAGATATTGAGCTGGTTGTTCTGGCAAAAGTGCCTAACATCAAAGAACATAAATTAATCCAATAAACTTGATACGATGAATGATGTATTGTCCCGTGTCTATGTTAGAAATGCTAAGCACATCAGAAGCTACGTGGCTAGCTTAGCATCAGCTATCCTATTACATTATGCTGTTCAAACAGCAGGGCTGTGCTCGAAATCCTCGGTTTCGACTCCTCGTATGATGCATAACAAGTATAATGTTATTTTAGGCATAAGATATGTTTCGTGTGTTGTGTGCGTTTCTTTTGTGTATGTATGAGGTTATTCTGTAGGGTCTGCTAACCGTCGTTAGCTAAAATAAATATGTCCGTCTGTACACACACACATCCGGTTCGTCTAGGCTTTTATATGACCGATACATTGTAAAACATTGTTACATTTACATAAAAAGCAGCTTTGGTTGCAAGACTTTTACTCTGACGGAGTGGCTGTCTTTTCTCGGTGTCATGTTGGTGTCTGTATATTTTACAGTTCCTAACTATGTCATTAAATCAAAATATTTCAAAATAACAACCTATTTAAGCTAATGAAATCTGTCTGGTAACTTTCAATGGAAGGTTGTTTAAATTCATCACAA